GATTGCGGTGGCAATTATTGGCGGTGCAGATGTTACGGCGTCGATTGGGTGACCAATGGCTTAGGGTCAACGTGGGCGTAGCTCTCTTCCCACGGCGGGACTAGCAAAGCTCCAACGATGGATGCAGCAAACCTGTATGCAAAACGCACGCAGCGATAGAAACTAGACGCACAAATGACCTGAATCGCGCACAAGAACGTATAAAACTCGTGAACGTTTTCTTTTGTAATACAGTTTTATTTTCGCGACTTTCGCGTATAAAAGTTAGTAATTCAGTACAAGATTAAAGTTCTAATTTATTCGCGCACGAGCACTGCGACCTTTTCGGAGGCTTACAAGAACGAGAATATATATATGTATGCAAAACAAATGTCAAAAAAAAGTCTACACAGATACGAGTAGACAATACATGCATTGCCACCCGTATCGCCAGATGCTTACATAGCGCCTAGACTATCAGTTTAGACAAATTTACAAATTCAGTGCTCAAGATAAAAATTCAATAGAAAAATACAAAATTCATTGCAAACAAATTGCCGCGTTTATATGAAGAAAAAAATGTAATTGGATGATCCGAAGAAGTTAACGGCGAACGTGCTGCAGCGTTGTTCGCGTGAACATCCAGCCGGCCCTAGCCGCATTAAGCGGATAGTGCTTCCTTTAACTCCTGGAGTGCCCTGAGCGCCTCCTGAACCAATAGCTTTGTGGTCTTGTCTCGGTAATTTGCGGTTTGCAGTCCCTCCTTCGTGCGCCGGACTCTACGGTTTTCGACGTTCGTGGCCGTTGGATGGTGTCGGAGGTGCTTGGAGCGAGCTTGGGTACGCCCTGATCCCCCACGTTGTGGGGAGTGTAACTTGGGCTGAACTAGTCGTTTGAGGGGCTGCACTGCGGCATTCGGGCTGCTGCGGCGGACTGTCGATGTACTACGTCGATGCAAGAGGGTGTGGTGCTGCAGCGAACAAACCTTGCAAAGACCACTTGAGGTACATTCAGCTGTAGTGTGCGACAACGCCAGACAGTTCGTACAATATTTATGTGCCCTTGCCAACAAAAACCGTTGCTGCGGCTGCATACTTGCAAACACGGGGCATAGACGCAGTGCGTGGTGACGGGTGCACAAGCGGCATCGTTGGTAGTCCTCCTCGATACGGTGAGAGCCAGGTGATGGTTCGCGTTCCACGGAGGGTGTCATTACCACTTTGGACTTAAGTAATGCGCGCGGCGCTGGCGTTGGGGTTCCACTGTGGTCCATCTGTAAAGATTTTATATACGGAGATTTTTAGTTTTTCGTATTATACCAGGTGGGAGACATATGAGACAGCTACGAGAAGTGTGTAGGTATGTGTCGTGTGTGGAAATAGGCAAATACATATACAGCAATCTGGCTGCGTTATTGTGGTAAGGGATGTATGGAGTGGTTAATCGGCTTCAAGGCGAGAGGGGACATCTTCGCTCGAAGGCAGAAATACTAATTTTACTAATGGCCGAGTGAGGAGGCCGGTTTGGGTGCGGACGTCGACCACACGAATGTGTCCATCCATGCCAGGGTGCAACCTTTCGATGCGGCCCAGGCGCCATTCCGTGGGCGGGAGTGTGTCATCATTAATGACTACGCATTCTCCGATTCTGGGTTCTACTTGAGCATTCTTCCACCTGTGTCGCTTATGAAGGTCTTTGAGGTAGTCTTCCTTCCATCGTTTTGCGAATTGGTGGTGCAAGACCTTGAGTTTTTCCCATCTATTAATGAGCGAGAGTTTTTCGTGATTAGATTCGGGGAAAGATAGGAGGGGAGCACCCCGGAGGAAGTGGCCAGGTGAGAGCGCTGTTAAGTCCTTCGGATCCTGGGTGAGTGGAGATATCGGACGAGAATTTAATACAGCTGCTACTCTTATTAAAAGGGTAGTAAACTCCTCAAACGTAAATTTATGGGGGCCGGCAGTCCTTTTGAAGTGAAGTTTAAAACTTTTAACTGCAGACTCCCATAAGCCACCCATGTGCGGGGCGCTGGGAGGGATAAACTGCCAATTAATACCCTGGGGTGAGTATTTTTGGACAATATCACGGGATACAGTTTGGAGAAAGACAGAGAACTCCTTTTCAATGGCTCTTTTGGCTCCTATAAAAGTTTTGCCATTGTCGCTCATCATTTTAGCGGGGTAACCACGGCGACCAACAAAACGAGCAAAGGCGGCGAGAAATGCCTCTTTGGTCAGGTCTGAGCACAGCTCGAGGTGTACCGCCTTTGTTGTGAAGCACACAAAGACGGCCACATAGCCTTTCATTAAAGCGGGGGATCTTAGCATAGAGGCTTTTATTTGAAAAGGCCCAGCAAAATCGACACCGGTGGTGGTGAAGGGCGGAGCGAAGGTGCATCGTTCGGGCGGCAGGGCAGCCATAATCTGCGAGCGCATTTGCTGTTTGTGAATGGTGCATGATTTACATTGATAAATACATTTTTTGATGAGGGGTTTTAGCCGGGGAATATACAATTCTTGCCTGGTCATCTGCTGCATAAGTCGTACTTCTGCATGGAGCAGGAGATCATGGAGAAATTTTAGATAGAGAAATGCGAATCGGGACTTTTCCGGAATTATAATGGGGTGACGTTCGTTATAGCTCAGGGTAGCATGAGCAAGGCGTCCATTGACGCGGATAACTCCATTTTTATCCAAGAAGGGGTTAAGAACTAATAGGGAACTCTTTTTGTCAATGGGTTTTGAGTCTTCTAAGCGGGCTTTTTCATGGGGGAAGTGACGGGTTTGCGTAAGGATGATCAGACGAATTTTTGCTTGGCGGAGCTCATCATGTGATAGCGGGGATGATGCGCGGTCAGAAGCTCCTGTCCCTTTGTCCTTTAGTCGTCTGATGAACTTGAAGACGTAAGCCATCACTCTCAAGGCTCGAGAGAAAGAGGAAAACCTGTCCAGAATGTCGGGGTCTTCTTCGGTTGTGAGGAGTGCCTCCACTCTTCGTACTTCCGGGGGGTTGACATTGCGGACTGGGGGTTTTGGCCATCCTTCGGGGGGCTTGGATAGCCACTCAGGACCATTCCACCATAACGACGACGCTGCTAAGTCTAGTGGCTTGCAACCCCTTGTGCCCATATCTGCGGGGTTGTCGCTGCTGCATACATGTCGCCAGGTGGCGTTTCCGACGAGTTCCAAGATCTCCGCGGTGCGATTAGAGACGAACGTTTTCCAAGAGTGGGGTGGTTTTTCCAGCCATGCCAATACAATTTCAGAGTCAGACCATAGTACCAGTTTTCTTTTAGAGAGGTCGAGATGGGACTGAATAGCTGCGACAAGTTTGGCTAGGAGAAGAGCTCCGCAGAGCTCAAGCCGGGGTAAGCTAGTTGTTCGAAGGGGTGCTACCTTGCCTTTGGAAACCAGAAGATGAGAAGACATACTGGAACCATGAGTAGTTCGAACATATACGTTGGCACAATATGCCTTTTCTGAGGCGTCGCAGAATCCATGGAGTTCAACATGCTGGTCGGGAACAAAGTTTACCCATCGGGGTATTTGAATGGTCGAGATTGTGTGGAGATTTTGTGCGAACTGAGACCATTTAACAAGACGGAGGGGCTTGACTTTTTCGTCCCAGTCAGTTCCGTCGATCCAGAGCTCTTGTAAGAGAATCTTTGCCTGGATCATTATCGGCGTAAGCCACCCTGCGGGGTCAAAAAGTTTCGCGACAGAGGAGAGAATCTGTCGTTTAGTGCTAGCAGATAAGGCTGGGATGGAGTCGATCGTATAGGAAAACGTGTCTGTGAGCGCGTTCCATTGGATCCCTAGAGTCTTTGTGGTACTTGCCTTTTCGAACTCGAGAAAATTAGTATCGAGCAAGTCCTCTTTCCTTATATTTTTGAGAATTTCTGGGTGGTTCGCTGTTATTTTCTTTAAGGGAAAGCCTGCCGAGTTTAGAGCCTGAATGACTTGGGTGAGAGATTGAGTGGCGATTGTCAGATCGTGGCTGCCGGAGAGTATGTCATCCACATACGTCTCTTTATTCAGAATGTGGGCGGCCATTGGGTAGTTGGTTTTTTCATCTTGTGCTACTTGGTGAAGTGTGCGAATGGCGAGGTAGGGCGCACAGTTTACACCGAATGTGACCGTTTTTAATTTATAATCTTGAATGGGACTGGTTGTGGGTGAACGAAAGATTATTCTTTGAAAGTCCTGGTCTTCGGGATGTAGCAGTATTTGTCGGTACATCTTTTCGACATCACCATTAAATACAAATTTATACATTCGCCACTTGAGGATGAGAAGCATCAAATCAGGCTGGAGAGTTGGTCCGGTATATAATACATCGTTAAGAGAGTAACCGGATCCCGAAATCTTTGATGCATTAAAGACAACTCGTACCTTTGTCGTTCGTTTTTCGGGCTTAATGACCGCATGGTGAGGGAGATAGAACGACATGTACTTGCCTGAGAGGAATTTTTCTTGGGAAACCGTTTTTTCCATGTGGTTTAGGGTGAGCTATTCTTCCAGGACATTATCATATGAGGCCTTTAAATCGCCCTTTTTGAGGAGGTTTCTCTCCATTCCGAGAAATTGCTGAAGCGCTGAGGAGCGAGAGTAACCTAAAGAGATTTCTTTGGGGAAGCTTGGCTTGAACGGAAGCCTGACCACATAACGACCATCAGAGTTGCGAGAAGTGGTGGATTTATAGAAATCTTCGCAAAAGTCGTCTTCAGGGGTGGTATGCTTGAGTTTTGGAACTTCTTCTAGTTCCCAAAACCGACGCAATTGTGAGTTGAGATGCTCATTAGAAATTTCCTCTATTTGTGTAGAGTATGAAGCTATATTTTCGTAAATCTGACCACTAAGTATCCAACCGAATATTGTCTTTTGAGCTAGCAGAGTTGGTGAGATTTTTTCAATGCCCTCCTCGATTATTTGAGGGATGACATCACTGCCTAACACGAGGTCAATCTGGGATGGGGAGTGGCAGTTTGGATCTGCCAGTTCAAGATGGGACCATTTTTCTTTGTGGTCATGATTAAGTGGGAACTTGGGGAGCATTTTTGTCAGCTGTGGTAACACGATAGCTTGAGCATTTATTTTAGTTTGGAGATCGGCGGAAACCAAGACTAAAGAGCATAATTTGTTCGAAGTTTGAACAACTCTTCCACCCATGCCCGAGATTTCAAATTTTGAGGATTTGCAGGGCAGCCCTAGCTTATTTTGAGCTTTGGTGGAGATAAAGCTTCGTTCTGACCCCTGATCTATAAGAGCTCTGAGTTTAAATATTTCTCCTCGGTGTGATACCGGTACCATAGCTGTCGGGAGGAGTATTTTGCTCTCATTCGCTGAATAGAATGATTGCACCTGAGTTCCAACTGCTTCCTGTTCATTAGTGTCTGTTTGGGGTGAAGTGTGCACACTTGAGTTTGTAGAAATTGTGGTTGCCACTTGCGAAGTGGTTTTTTGTACTCTTGGGGGTTGCCTTTTCGGCATGGAGTTTGTGGCTTCATGGAGCACCGAGTTGTGCCGTTCACTACAATGGCTACAAGTTTGTGTGCTAGGGCAATCTTTCAACAAGTGTGACTGGGATAGACAATTGAAGCACATATTATTTTCTCTTACGAACTTCTTGCGATCAGAGATTGACAACTTTCGGAATTTGAAGCAGTTCCACAGCGAATGAGAGGAGGTCTTACACATCGAACATTTGTGCATTATTCGCTGCTCTGTCACGTGAGATTGTATTTGTGACATCGATCTGTTTTGAAAGTTTTGAGAGTGAGGGGGTTTAAAAGGTGGTTTGTTATAAGAGAAAGGCGGCTTTGAAGAGCTAGTGGGCTGAACAGGAGGTCTCGCCTTCGGCAGGCGCCATTGATCAACTCTTTCGGCCACTTCATAACGAGTAGTGAGAAACTGGTCCATTTGGGACCAATTGGGGAGGTCTTTCCTCGAGCTGAGGGATTGTTCCCACAGGGATACTGTGGTTTCGGGAAGCTTAGAGGTGACTATATAGATGAGGATGGGGTCCCAATTTTCGGTTGAGACTTGCTGAGTTGCGAGAATTTGAAGGCAGTTGTTTACAGAAGACTGCAGCCTTTGTATGTCTTCGCTGCTTTCGGTGGGAATGGGTTTGAGGTTCATTAAGATTCGTATTTGGTTGTCTACCAAAATACGCTTATTCTCATATCGAGACCGAAGTGCTTCCCATGCGAGATTAAAGCTTTCATCACAGAGAGGGAATTGCTTTACTATTTGATTGGCTTTACCTTGAGTTTTGTACCTGAGATGGTACAACTTTTGGCCTTGGGTGAGTTCAGGGTGATTTATGTATACCGCTGTGAACATATCCCGGAAAGAGGGCCATTGTTCATAACTTCCGTAAAATACTTCGGTGTCACAAGGAGGGACGGTTAAGCCGAGGCCAGACTGGCGTTTGGGTTGTGATGAAGAGGGAGTAGGCATGGGAGTGCTCACTTGCTTATGAAGATGGAGCTGGTCAGCGATTTGAGCTTTAGTGTCTTCATATTGATCAAGACAAGACCGATATTTGCGAAAAGCACTTGCTTTGAAATCTTCGGGAAGGTCTTGCTCGTCTGCCTCTACAACTACATCATAAGAGTTTTGAACTCGATTCCAAAAATTGTCTAAACTCGTATCTTTTATTTTCAGGCTTGATTCTGAGTTATTTTCGAGAGGTAGGGATTTGAATCTTGAACAGTAATCGACTAAATTATCAGTCTCTGCAATAAACTTAACGGAGGCCAATTGCCTTTGTTTTTTTGAAGTTTTCCCGCTTGAGCGGGCAGAGCGTTGAGTTTCGATCGCAACGATTTTCTCTTCATCACTCATTTTGGGAAGTTGGGATTCTTCGTTAAGCCCCGAGAAAATTTATAATTTAGTCTGAAAGGACTGGGGTTGAGGGACTGAGAGAGAGGGATGCCTGAGGGAGATGCAAAGAACTCGAGAATACTACAAGAATGAAATTTTTTTTTTTTTTTTAAGTAAATGCGATTCCTCTTACAGGAATGCCAGAGAATTTAATGCAATTCCTTGTTAAAGGAATGCCAGAGAAGTAAATATACAGATATAAAATGAGCAAATAAATAATGAAATGTGTGAGTTTTGCGATTCTGTCAGTGCTCGATTGCGAATTAGGGAAAAATAGAGATTTAATTTATTTACAAATTTATTTATTTAACCGTTTTTGAGAATATAGTTATTTCGAGAAACTTGCTCAACGAATGAAAGAGTACGAGAAAAATTTAGTTTATGTAAATGCAAGTTTTTTTTTTTTTCACGCGACTGTAACCGCAATTTTATGTATATGTAAAAGGGCCACTCAGTAGAAGAACGAGAATGCGCTTTTATTAACTTTGGGTGAAATGCAAATTTAATTCACGGGACTGTAACCGATGGTGTTTGTACTTTTATTTCTGAATACTTTTCCAATGCAAACCGACCACTGTATCGCACTTTATATATGTAAATTTGTGTATATTTATATATGTAAATATGTGTATATATATCGCTTTATATTCTCTTGCGCGCTTGCGAATTTGAGATTAGGGGTGCACTACTGAGAAAATTATTATTTTACTATAATTGCTTAATTTAATTTTCATGCAAATGTGAGGTATGGAAATTTGGTATGATAAATATCAATGATATTAATTTTATATTTGAATTCTGTAACTGCAGATGAGATAAGAGATTAAACGTATGTACTTATGTACTTGTGTATGTATCTGTGGACTGTATGTATAAAGTATAAGAGTTTTTAAGCAGTTAAGTACATAAGCGCAGAGAAGGAGAGCTATATGTATAATTAATATACGGGATTTTCTTTAAATTGCGGGAATTATTTGCACGAAATTAAACATGTACATATGTACAATTGCTAGCTATATTTTTTAACGGAATGAGGGTTCCGTTTTTTTTTTGGAAAAGGCGCACAAAGTTTTTTCAAACTTCTAAATGTTTGGAAGCGATATACTTATGTATGTATGTATGTATATTGAAATTATATTTTCCGTGGGGACGCAAAGGGAGATTCAAGCGCTTACTTACGGTTTTTAGGGGGGGGTTTTACTTATTTATTCCAACGGCGTTGGTTCCTTGCTGG